TTTCACAGCGGATGATTTGCATTTTTTCATATTTAATTTTTTTGCTTTGTATGCATGAGTGTCTGTTTTTATTTGATTTTTTTTTTGCTCACCACATGCTTTCAGTGACATGATTCTCCAGAGTCCTCTGTAGATTGTCCTTTTGGTCGTCTGGTTTCTGCCGATCATTCCAACAAATGTAGACTTTGAATTTAATAATTAAAGGGACAGGAGTTGGATTTACCCCCCGGCCCAAAGTCGAATGAATATCTTTCCTACTTTACTAAGTATAAATGAAATGAAATAATTCTACTGGTCACCTCAGGTCAGAGATATTTCATAAACAGACCAACCCAGTCGTAGTGGACCCAGCTGTGTGTTAATACCGTGGCTGTGGTCCAAACGTTGTTGTATGAGGTCGGACTTTACAGCAGAAGATGAACGTGATCCTCGTGATTCATCACCAAAATAAAATTTTATCACTTTTCCAAATGAAACGTTCATCAGACGTCAGACCAAAGTCATCCCTCAAAAAAAAAATCTCTGACGTAAATAAAATGTCAGATTGAGGTCACGGTTGCGTCACGTCCAACCTTGGCCGTGAGCCGTCTGCTAACGCCTCACGAAGACGAAGGTGTCGTAAGAACTCGACCGACCCAGAGGACAATCTACTTCCTTCAACTACCAGAATCGGTTGTTGGTTTGAATCCATCACCGTGGCTGCTGTTTTTTTTTCCAGTTCTTACAGCATGTCATGACACTTGTGACCCCGACCCTCCAGCTGTTCTGTTGTGCATGTGCAAAAACTCCTGCCGTTTTTTTCCTTTACAGCCTGTGAAACGTCGTGACCAACCCTCGACAGTAAAAGCATGTGAACGCTACGTCTGCGTGGTCGAACCCAGATCGTTGACGTGAAGTTTCCGATGTTCACTAACTTTTCCCCACCTTTTATGTGCAGCTTATCACTGGGACACGTCGGACTGGATGCCCAGTACCCGGCTGTCGGACATCGAGGAGGTGCCGGGTTACGAGACCGGTCCTCCCCCTGAAGTAGCTCGCTCAGTCTCCCGCCTCGGAGGAAGTACCCGTGAACTGGAGTCAGACTACTATCTGGGAGGCTACGACATTGACAGCGATTACCCCCCACCACACGAAGAAGAGTTCCTGACCCAAGACCAACTGCCACCTCCACTGCCCACGGGTGAGGACTACTCAGAGCCGTACTCGCCCCCCCCAACCAACCCCCCGGTCTCCAAGGAGAGTACCCTGAGCTCCGGAAGCACCGGCCGTCAACATTCCAGGCAACACTTTCATCCCAGCCAATACCTGCCCCCCCACCAGCTGCCACTTGGGGAGCTGCCACACGCGGACTTTAGCGCTGGTGGTTTAACGCCGGGGAACGGAGACACTGATGACTCTTTGTCGATAAATATTCGTCTGTCTGTCGGAGCGTCGTCGGCATCAGACATGTCGGTGCCAGGCGGTCTGGAAGATTCCGAACGTGGCAGTGATTTCGACAGTATGGACGAGCTGCGCCGCGGGGTGACCATCACTACTGAATCTCAGCAACAGACTGAAGTGTGATGTAGGGTCTGGTACTGACCAGCAGGGGCATAGGATTGTGGTGGTTTTGAATGAGATGCACAAACGGATGTAACAAAGGGAACAAAGTACTACAGTACAACTACAGTACAACTACAGTACAACTACAGTAGAAATAGTAACAAGACCAATTTAATAGGAGCGATTTGTAAAGTAAAGTGAAAAGAACGGTTCAGAGAACGTCAGTGAGAAAGACTCCAATCCAAAAGAGAGGAATTGACAGATGTGGTTGAGAAAATCGAGGAGAATCGAATGGAAAAATAATGAAAGTGAAAAGATGAGTTTGTTTCCCTGCTCCTTCACACACGCTCAGTACAAAACAATTTGAAGAGAGAGAGAAAAAAAAGAAAAAGCCAATTTCCTTCTGTTTTCCTTCATGGATTTGTAAATTTTGTAGTGTACAGACTTTGTAAAATAGTACGACTTTTCAGGTGAATAAGTACGAAACCATGTTTCCAACGCATTTCAGACAAACAATTTCTTTGTTTGTGCTTCGCTCCTGTTCGTAAACAGCCGGCCCCCGTCGAGCCGTGACATTTTACAGTTGGCTCTCATCAGCTCACAGCACTGAGTGACATTGATTTTTCATTTTATTGGTTTCTCCTGGCAGCATGTGTCAAGGTTCTTTTCAGACTGTAATTAATTTGAGATTACCAGTGTGTCGATATATAACTCTGAAGGCAAACAAAAACTCTTTACGTCGCCTTAGAGTGATATATTTAGTTAGGCGACTGTACTGCAGGCAACAAATAACATCAAAAACTGCATTTCCAAACTGAAAAAAAGAGAAAGAAAAACGTTAAAGTGTAATTAAATTATCCAAACTGAAAAAAAGAGAAAGAAAAAGTGTAATTAAATTCGCTTACGGCCAAGGATGAAGGATAGAGTGGTCCCGGCTAACACCAGCAGGTGTCAGTATGATAAGACCTGGGGCCTGATGTACTAAACGTGCATCTTCGTGAGTCTTCAAATCCCATGTTGGGTTGAGGCCTGAATGCTACGATTGTGCTGTGCTCAGGTGTGGAATCAGAGTTGATTTTTTTCAAAGTTTAATCCTGAAACTTTGGTCAATATCGGAGCGATACCGATCACAAGTTTTGGATCGAGCCATGCCTACTATCAGCATGTCATCCGCAAATGTTTTGACTCTTCATTGTCGTCACGTAAACCAAACCCAGTTGTGTCGATTCGTCGTCTCACCTGCGTGAAAAGAAACCTTTAACAATGTCTTTCTACGAGGCCTGAAGTTCTGAGAGCACATTCTTCCCGCTTCACATCATCACGGCATTGCACTATATTTTATATCTGATCCAATCAGACGTCAGCATCCTTTCCTTTCTTTGTAAAAGATGTTTACATTTCTGTACAGTGTACATAGCTAGGATGTTAAAATACTGATGTTTTTTTTAAGGTATGGAATTGCCATCCTGAACTGCCTTTGGACGTATTTGTTAATGTGCCGTGGAAAACAAGAGACTGAGGAATATCAAATATTTTCTCATCATTCCGCCTCTGACTGACTCGAGCATTTGTTTTTTTTATATATATATATATATCAAGCGTTGACTTTTGTTTATTTGGATTAAAATGTGAATGCCGTTACAATATTATCTGTGAGTTTGCACAGTGTTGGATCGTCACGTTACATCTCGTTAGAGATTTGTATTTTATTTTGTTAAAACATTTGTATGAAGGTGAAGAGGGAATCCTTTTGTACTTTGGTTTTTATTTCTGGAATAATGAGGAATTTCTAATGTTCTTTTTTAGGTATTTCTTTCCAAAACATTAAACAGTTAAAAAAACAAAAAACATATTCATCAAAAATGTATGTTTGTAAAGTAAGGAATTTTTTTATGCTTTTGTTTTTTTTTTATTTACTTTTTTTTATTTTATTCAACGCAGAAAATAAAAATGGTTCCTGCTAAATGAAATTCACTGCCTTTGAAATCATGTTTTCAAACCCTCAACCAGAACAGGAACTGACTGCCCAGTCATTCTTGGTCCCACTAATCAACTAATTGCTCTCACCTGCTCTCCTCTCTTCTCCTTCTCCTCACCTGTACTACATCAACTCCTGCTGTTCTCCTCCTCCTCCTCCACCAGAGTTGTCAGTTGCCAAACCTTCCAGCAGCCTCTGTCTTGTTGGTTTTTTTTTCCTTCTTCTTTTTGTCTTTTTGTTCACTTAACTTTCCTTAATAGATACTGTATCACACTTCAATTGAGCCAGCAGGTGGCAGCAGTCAGCACATGCACTAGTACAAAAGTAAGTGGCTGATCTTTTTGGACGTTGTTTAATCCGATCAAATCTCTCTCTCTGTTAGTGAATGTGTAGAGTTTCTAGATGATTGTTGGTTTATGAGGTTGAGTTAAATCTCCAAACGTATGTGTATATACAGCAGAAGTATGTTTTATATATATATATAAATAGTTCTGCGTATACGGCACTAATTCATGGTAATGAAAACTAGCTGTGCTGCAAGAACAGGTTTTCAATCTAGCTGCAGATATGTTCATTTTGACCTTTACTCGGAGGAGTGAGCGTTAAATGATGAGTGAGAACTTGGACCATGAATAAATCTGACTGAAATAAATTCTTGCTTCGATGCCCGGGCTCAGCCCCGGAAATAAATTAAAAAGCTCAGACATCCAGAGGGAGCTGGAGCTGAAAGCTTCCTCTGGATGTCACAAAGCACAAAGACCCCGACGACACTGTGTTAGGACGAGCTCTTCAGATGGTGATGCAGCTGATTAGGGACCGTGGAGCTCAGTGAAAAAGAATCAAAGTTTGTAGCCAGAACTGAAAGACAAATAACAGCAGGAAGAAGGATGTGTTTTAAAGCTGGTGTTGTTTTTTTTCCTTACTAGTCTTTAGTATGGAAATATGTTAAGAAAAATATAAGTATCACTCAGATTTTTACCTTGTTTGTTTTCACACACAGACGTACAGTACAGTATCATCAGCATAAAGGATCATTCAACATCAAGGTCATTCACGTGCTCTGTCATCAGGTCCCTTTATTACATGACAACCTGAATAGTTTACATTATCATGACAGACGAGCTAAAGTACGCATCTGGAATAAGAACGCTCCACAGCTTATTAGCTGATGAGAACAGTCAAGGACTTTGGTATGTTCTCATCTGGCAGGGGTTCAGAAAAGCATGAGCATTAAAAAGAAGAGGCATATAAACAAAATTAAAGCGTAACTTTTTTCTCTTTAACCACCAGAAGTCTTGTTTGTTGACCTGAAGCCAAACGTTTCTTTTATTTTGAACTGTACATCTTTGGTCAGATTAGTGATAAACGTACAAATGCTGTCGGTAAGAATTTAATGACAAACATTTAATAAAGATGGGATGGATGGATGATGGATGGATGGGTGGATAGAACTTTATAAATCCCTTTTGGAGTTCCCTTTGGGAAATTAAGGACCAAAGGCAGATCAGATCAAAGGCACATCTGTGATGTCGAGGCTGAGAATGATCAAGAACAATAACAGCAAAGATGACGGAACTGTGACCGAGTGGTGTCAGTGATGTAACACTCCACTGTGTAACACAACAATCTGCCATCACATTAAAATCTAAATGAAGGAGATGAAAATAGAGTTGCACGTCTTTAAAGTGACAACACGAGTGATGATCAACACCTCTGACAAACCAGTGATTTAGTTGACTTCAAGTTAGTATTGACGTAGCTTTTGTTGTAAAACGACAAACGTCTTCTTTGTGGGAAAGGAAGAAAAGGAGGAGGACATACACGTAACATTTCAGTTATCAACTATTCATATCACATCGGCAACAGACACTGTCAATAATGAGTGCAATAGACAGTTCCTCGTATCAAGTGCCCTTTGAGGCCACAGAGGAGTTTGAAGAAGCCAACCTGAGGCAAGCGCAAGCCGCTGAAAAAGCTGCGCTGGAGCTGGCAGCGCTATCGTTACAAGACGATGATACGGAGTCAACACCGGAGGAGGAGGAAGTGGAGGAGTTGGTTATTCTTCATCCAGAACATCGTCTTGTCAGAAGGCTACAAGCTGCTCTAAACACACAGCTGAAAAAGCAGCTGGAGCGGATTAACCTGCAGCTGGATGAATATCTGGCCATTGAGAAGGAGGACACCAGACAGACGCAGGAGACTGGGGTCGAGATGTTTAGGATTCAGGATAAACTGGCAAAGTTACACGCCAAGCTCCAAAACTATCATCAGACCCTGGCGGAGGAAGAAGAAAAACACAGACAGAAGCAGGCCGAGCTGGAGGTGGTGAAACAGCATCACACCGATACCACCAGCAACCACACCAAAGTCAAGACCAAGTTCTCGCAGCTGCAACGAGAATACGACAAGTTGATGGTGCAGTTTGTGTTCACTCAGGGAGCAAGTGAAAATAAGCACCTCAACGTCAGAACTCTGAAGAACACCAAAGGGAGGGCGGGAGCTGAGAAGAACAAGGCGGCGGATGAAAAATGGAAGCAGGATTTGTATGTGGAGCGTCTGACAAAAGAGATGGAGAGGCTGACGGAGCAGATAGGAATGTACGAGTCCCAGACGAACATCAAAGCTGAGGAGAACCAGATGATCAAACAGGCTCTTTCTGAAGCCGAGATGGAAATAGAGTCTCTGGTCATGGTGCGCAAACACCTGATGCAGCAGTGGAACATGTGCTTGTTGGGCATGCAGAGGCGAGATGAGGCCTTTAGCGGGATGCAAGAGGCCTTGCAAGCGCTCGAGGACCAAATGACCGTCTTGGACACTGAGATTAAAAGCTACAAGAAATCTACAGAAGAAGAGCAGGAGAGAAACGAAGCATTGACGTTCCAGCTCTACTGGTCTAAGAGGAACGTAGCCCTCACCAGGAAGATGATTATACAGAAACAGAAACAGCAGGAGGCGCTGCAAGTCGAGCACAGTACGTGCCTTCACATTCTGACAGAGACGGAGCAAAAGCTTGACACCCTCACGAAGGAAACCAGCAAAGATCTGGCTGCTGAAATTGAAGAGCAGAAGAAGCAGTTGGAAAAAGAGTCCGCAACTCGTCTAGACCTGGAAGCCCAAATCATAAGCTACTTGCGGCAGCAGGTCATCCACAGCCGGGCGGCCAGGTACTCCAGGTGGTTAACAAACAAGTCTGCAGCGCTCAAAGAACGAAAGATAGCTGAGCTTTGGCAAAAAGAGGATGAAATGACGGCAGTGGCGCTGGAGAGTAACAAGGTCAGCAATCATCTGGAAAGCCTGGCCTTCACTCAGGACGCCCTGGATGATGAGATTGGAAAGTACGATAAGTCCGTCATGTTCACCCAGGCTGCTGTGACCTCCATATTGGGCGTCATCCAGCAAAAGCAGAACATGATCGCCGCCTACAACAGAAAGATTGGTCAAATCGTGGCCAGCACTGGGCGTGAAGACCTCAGTCCTATGCAGATTAAGATCGAGACACTCTTGGGACAGATTGCAGAGCTGGCAGTAAACATTAAAACTAGCAAGCAGCTCTGGATGAAACGGCAGGGCACTCTGATAGTTCTAACTCAAGACATCGAGGTCAACAGTAAAGAAATAGTCAAACTGCAAACACAATGCACTGTAATGAGGCAGAAGAAAATACGCTGGGAGAACGAGATCGAGGTTGAGCTTCAAGAACTGTCAGACCTGGAGAAAAACACGAAGATGCTGAAGGAAGACTTGCTGAAGCTCAACACGCTGCTCACCAAGAACGGACAGCTCGGCGAAACTCTGGAGCAGGAGAACGTTCTGATGGAGACAGATTTCATGCACAGGATTATTGAGGCAGAGCGAGAGGCCGTGGAGATCCAGATGAAGTACGACAAATCCATCGCTGAAAAAGAGAGGTTGCTCCACAGCCTGCTGGAGGCCGAGCGGCAGATCATGCTCTGGGAGAAGAAGATCCAGCTCGCAAAAGAGACCATTGCAGCAGTGGACTCTGAAGAGGTCCAGGGAGAAATCCAGCTCATGAAGTCTGAGATTCATCGTATGGAGGTGCGCATCAGCCAACTAAGGAAGCAGCACGAGAAGTTACAACGGGACAGTGAGGCGACGGTGGCAAGGAGGGAGTCCATCGTTGAACGCAGAGAGGCTATACTCAATTGTTCCCAGAAACCAAACTCGAAGTTTGATGTGACTCTCAGCATAAAGCATCTGCAGCGTAAAATCAAGGACACAGAGAAAAATATGACCGAGTGTGAGAAGATGAGCAGAGACTTGATGGAGGACAGGGATGGTCTGAGTCAGCGGCTTGAACGGCAGAAGGTGCTGTTAACCCAGCTGAGCGGTGCCATCTCCAACATGGAGTCTGAGCTGGTAAACCTGCAAGATTGTAAAGATAGGGACCTGGTCAAACTAGTGACTCTCCAGAACCGGATCAGGAAGCTGCAGGCAGTCTGTAAGGGTTCCTACAAACCTTTGTCCGACTGCGAGTCGGTCGAAGCCGCTCTTAAAGTCCAGCTAGAACATGTGAAGAAATACTGCAACACCCTGCATCAGGTCTGTGCGGCGTTCCCGCCTCACAGATTGCCACTGCGCAAACTGATACTGACTCTGGAGGCGGGGATGGAGACTCAAAATCAATGACAATACAGGACTCGGGTCAATCTGGGAGTGGGAATAATCATGGGCTTGTCACTAAAGGCCACCAATAAACCCTGAAGCACAAGAACGGGAATCAATTATCAGAAAGGAACCAAACTGGACGGTGCTCTGTTGGCCGGAACGGTGATTTCTAACCACTGTGCCACAGCTCATCAGGTGTGATGTGGGGTATTATCCAATTTCATGTAAATGTTATGAAAACTATTTTTTATTTATTGCTTGTAGTTTGTCTTTGTTTGTCTAAGAAACATATGCAAGAAGAACAGTTCAGTACTCTTCCACTAGGGGAAGAGTATCTGTAAGAGATGCCTCTAAAACTAAAACTAAAAAAAAAAGACAGTGTTTTTGAAGAAGATCTTTGTCTGCGTCTTTCTTCAATTCTTGTGACTATATTAGCATCGTGTTCAACTAAACAAGACAGCGTTTAATTCTGAGTAATTTAATTGTTAGAAAATTGAAAAAATCTTTTGTGTCAGTATTTATTTATTATGATTAACCGCTCCTCACTTAAAGACCACGGAGCCATTATATTGTTTCGCTGTTGGCAAGCAAGCTTACAATTTAATGTCACATCTAAAATTGGTTTAAACTGAGTTGTATAAAAAAAATAGAGTGCGCTTCACATCTAAAATTGGTTTAAACTGAGTTTTGTAAAAAGTTCTACAGTGCGCTCCTTAGAGCTAGCTAGGAAGGAATTTTCTCATAATGAGCAGTTATGAGATAAAAATACACATTTGTACTAGGTAAAAGTACACGAGGCAGAAGTGCACGTATACTGTGAACAACCTAAACATTGTTTTATCAGCAGAGTTAAGACGTCACGCCGCCAAAAACATTGATCATTAGAACGCTGAGAACATTCTCCAAGGACACGTTTGGTCTTCAAAGACAAAACAGCCCCCGCCCCCTCCACTGAACTGAGTGTCAACCAATGGTTAGTTTATTAATAATAATAGTCTAGGGTTGAAAAACTTTGGACTTTCAAACAACGGGCCATCAGGGAGAGGAGAATTTTCTTTTCTTCTTCAGCACAGCTGTGTAACGATATTAACGAAACGCCAAAGGCTTCAATATTTGCAAATGTAATATCATCATTTTTCACTTTGAAAACTTAAAATTTCACAAATATATTATATATTTTTATATACAGTTCATTAAAAAAATGTATAAATGTAAAATACAAAACTTAAATAAACTTAATTATATGACAGAGAAATATGTAATAATTCATAATAGGAAATATGAGCTGTAAATGATGACGCTGTATCTTGGACCTTAATTCGTTATAATAAATAAAAACGAATGTTTGGGGGAGAACAGAGGAGAGAAGTGGGAAAGGAAAGGAAGACAGGGGGATAAACACAGGGGAGAGAGAGAGAGAGAGAGTGTGAGTGTGTGTGTGTGTGTGTGTTGGGAGGTGAGGAGTCTCAGGTGGAGCACTTCTGTCCTGGCAGTCAGCAGTTTCCTGCTGCAGGGAAAAACCTCTGCCACTGAGGGACGCACCGTGACATTTACAGGTGCCAGTGAAGCGACATGCCCGCGGTCAGCCACACCGACCGCGGGTAGTGAAGCAGGTCAGACGGAGGGTGTGAGGCTATGGATGTCCCCGGAAATGTCTCACTGCTGACGGACCACACCGACCGCGGACCGGAGCCGAGCCCCGGAGCAGCGCGTCCTGCCTGGGCGATCACGGCGCTGGCCAGCGTGCTGATCTTCACCACAGTGGTGGACGTCCTGGGAAACCTGCTGGTCATCGTGTCCGTGCTGAGGAACCGGAAACTCCGGAACGCAGGTAAGAAGCTGGCAGCTGTTTTCTGTATGTTTGACACAAAACACGTGGCGTCTGTGCCGAGTTTGGATGACTTGGATGGATGACTTGGATGGATGACTGGACGGCAGCACATTCCTCCAGATCCCAAACATCACCAGTCCATCCCGGGTTAATGTAATTCCCTCCGCCGCTGCTTCAGGATGAATGAGTTGATCCATTCATCAGATTGTGCGTTTGGGTTCACCATTCAGTGTGTCTTTGTTTACTCTGTTTTATTTTTTGAACATATGGATGAACAGAAAGTGACATCAAATTTAAAGGACACTCAACTCTTCCCGTTCATGTCAGGATTTTATAAAATAGTACAAAAAAAAAACTGTTGCGGCTGCTTTTCCTAAAGTTCTGTCGATTTGGTCAACGTTGGACATAAGTCAGGGACGTAGCCTCAAAATACCATGTGTATTTTGTGTGTGACTGTACTCCAGTTTTCATCACGTCATATAATATTCCAGATTAGGATGATCATCCCAGTAATTTCCATTGGCCCATGACACTGAGAGAGGAATAATTTCACGCTAATCCCTGGCAACTGGAGCTCCATCTCTTTCTCTAATTCAATTTTCCTCTCTCTCTCTCTCTCTCTCCCTCTTTCTCTCTCCATGTATATCCAGTATATATATCTCTCGCTCAGTCAGATCAAACCCCATACAATTCAATTACATCCTGCATTGGTATTAATCTTACTGTATATTTTACACATACTTTGAATACTACTTACTTCGGTCCAGTGGTTGCACCATTAATCCTCTAATGCAGTGAATTTGGCTACGTCAGGCAGATTTGCCCACTGGGCCCATGGGGCTGGTGTGGTCCTGCTGACGGGGCATGATGTCACAGACCGTGGTATGGACCAATGAAATTAACGTCAAATCTGCAATTTTAGACTGGTGCAAAGGAAAATGAGAATGTTTGTGTAACAAACATGTGAACGCCACACTGGGTCTCAAACCAATGACCTTTTTTTTTCTCACTATAACTAATGTATATCTGAAGGTCTGCCCAGATCAGGTAAACCTCGAACTCTAGTTGTGTTTTGATTGGTTTAGCTTTGGCTCGTTAGCTGCGGAGGTCAATAACATCAATAATATCAGATTGTTTTAAGTCCCACAGGGCTAAACAGCATTAGCGCAGCATTGCTAATTAATACTATTTAATATGCAACTGAAATGTGTGCTTTTTCACATGTTGCTGTATATGCAGACGATGTACGACTATGAGTGGTTGGATGATCTCAAATGTTAAATCTGATTCAGGAAAAAAATATATTTGGGGAGTTTGGGTTGTTGTCCCTGCCAAAGCAAACAGAGAGGTTTTAGTGGCGTGTTCTGATTGGCTAGGAAGGCTTCACAGATATGAGATACAAACACCTGTTGAGTGATAGTTATGACAGGACTAGACAGAAGGCTTTGGTGTCTTCATGAATTAAAAAAAGACAGGACTAGACAGAAGGCTTTGGTGTTTTCATGAATTAAAAAAAAACAAACAACTGGACTAGTTGTAGTTCATTTTAGGAAGAGTGATTTTTTTTTTTTCTGCCATATGGACTAGTTGTAGTTCATTTTAGGAAGGAGAATTTTAGGAATTTTTTTTTTTCTGCCATGAAACAAAGTCGTTCCTGGAGAAACTTCAAGGACGGTGTCCCACTTTTACTGCAGCTACCTGGAGGTTCAGCGTTTCTGAATGGAACACTCTCCTCTGAACACAGGTCACAGGAAGTGTGTCACCACAGGAGGAGACACCGAGGCTACATTTGTCAACTGAGGACAGGCCCTGTTGCTCAAGTGTCCCAGCATTTGTCCTCTGTGTGATTTCTACCTGAGTACTGACCCACCAAACAACAGCAGTGACTCTCAACCACCGGGCCGTGGCCCATCAGTGTACCGTGCAGTCATTCAGTTAGTTATTTACCTGGTCTATGTGACAGAAAACACTGAGTACAGAGTCGGTGTAATGGAAGTTAAAGGTTGTTAGTTCTTTTAAATGTTAAATACACAATATTCACTCTTTAACCGAGACGGTAAATGTTAAAGGTTAGATTGTAAATAATGGCTGATTTGAGTCCGGCAGGATAATCAGCAGTGTGCAGCGCTGCTTGAAATGCCACAGTATTTCCATAGAGAAATACCACGGTTAATGAAAGCCACTGTACGGCGTGACCAGGGGACACCTGATGTACAGAGTACGAAATAGAACTGATACTGAGTGTGAGTGGAGAAGAGAGAAAACCTTCAGTATGAATTACTCTGTCTGTCTCATCGTGTCTTTATGGATTTCTCTCCGTCTCCGTCTCCACTTTACCCCAGGCTTTTTTCACAGCAGATTTCAAGTATATATATATATACGCTGCATTGACAGAGATGCAGTACCACAGTCATCCACTAGGGGATTCATTTAATTTAGGTTAAAATTTGGATATACTTAACTAAAGAGATTTTTATGACTGAATAAGAATTTTCTAATGATGGAGTCAAACCACCTGTTTACGTCGTCCTCGACCTGCGGGGGTTCGTGGTTACGTCGTCATCTCCCACAAATGCCCATTAAGAAAGTTTTGTTCCATCATTTCAACATACAGCGTTAAAACAAAATTTTGCACAGAAAGTAGTTGCCGAGCGGAGCGGACGAAGACGCCATTGTTTTACATTCGCCACAACATCTTTGGGTTGAAGTGAGTTGAGTGAGCGTTAACTCTCCTCTCCAGGAACAGAATGACAGTTTTTAGGAGCGGAGCTGAGCTGAACACCTAAACCCCATCAGTCCTGCTCCCATTCACTGTGCCCTCACAGAGCGAGAACCCAGCGGAGTCTATATTAAGCACCAGAGAGAAGTCCCAAACTCCTATGAGGTTGTCGTGGACATTTATAATTGATACCACTGCGGCGTTGTTGCCTTTGAGAGTCTGCTGTTGTCCTCCGACAAATGTCTTCTCTGGGTCATGTGCTGCTGTGCTTAGTCAAGGAGGAAACGTGTTGTTCTGGGATGGACCGGCCTCATGTCCTCTCGGACCTCAGACCCTTAATCTGGAGGAATCTTGGAACTGCATCTGTGTTGTCTTCATCACGATAGAAATGTGAGGTTGAAATTTCAGTGATCTTCATCACGATAGAAATGTGAGGTTGAGTCAAAAACGTTGAAATTTCAGTGACGTGAAAGACATCCCGGAATTCCACAAAGAAGGAATTCTCTGTTAGACACCTCAGAAGGTTTTAGAAGATCTCAGTCACTACCGTCCATGTTGACGTTGTCTTGTCTACAACTTGTCGTCAAAGCCGTCGTCCTCGGCAACATTAATCACTCTACAGTGCCTCGCAATCCATTTGACAATTGTTGCAGTCAGCCTGTCGGCTGCAGCCTGAGTTACTGCCCTGCACTGAGTCACCAGCCGGCCGTCTGACCTGAACCAGAACTAGAACATTTATTAACACGTTACATCAATCCAGTTTCAAAATTACAATCTATCCATCCATCATCTAATGAAGTTTGACTTTGTTTCCTGGGTGGATTTCTTCTAAATTTTATCTAACGTGTGGAAATGTTTCGAATTCTGAGAGAAAAAAAACTCCTTGGTTGAACTCTGTCGTGGGGTTAGTCTGCTGTTGATGAGAACTGAGGTCTGTTCTCAGCATGTGCGATAAGGTGGGCAGTTTCAGTAAAGTGGTATCAGATTCATGTGTCTCCTGGATGACCTTCGTTCTAAGGCTTTGTCCATATATTCTAACCTTCTGGATAGATCATATACAGTATGTGTCGTCTGTACCCCCCTCACACTGTGTTGTCTGGAAGACCCCACTGTACTGTAAATAGTCCGACTCTGCAACCTGATCTCAGATCAGATAAAAGAAGATGAGGATAAAAAGAAATGATTTTCTTTGTGGTTCAGGGTTGGTCAGGCGGCTCGTCTACGTCTACTACTTTATAGTGACCTACCTGGGCTACAGTACCAGTCTAGGGGTGGGGGACTTGGCTAGGACCCTGGAACTGTATCCTTTCATGGTGCGAAGAGGTTGTAGTGCCACCTCTGGTCGCAGATATCAAGGACATTTTATTAAGTTTAGCCAATAGAATAAAGGTGTCAGCGAAAATGTCCTTAATATTTACCTTTTTACTGGATGAAAAAAAACTAATATATAAATATATATATATATATAAGTATACATATATTAAAAATGCATTAACAAATCCCAACTTTTAGAAACACACACACACATTTCCCTGACTTTTTTTTAGAAATGCTAATGCATGTTGTGTTTTGAGTGAGTGCAGTTTTATCAGTTGGAACAGAGCCAGTGCTGGCTTTTGCTCCCCTCCCCTCCCTTCTCTCCCCCTCCTCACCACCACCCCACCTCCCCCCTCCTCGTTTCCCTCTGTGGTTCCCTCTTCTTTCCAGGCAGCTCTGTAGTGTAATGTGATGTGGTGGATTTCTCTGCCATTTACTTATCTGAAAGAGCGCAGGCTGCCATCGTTGCGCGGCCGCGACGCTTCCACGTCGTTAGCAGCAAACACAGGCCCAGACATTAAAGGCTGAAAAAACAGGCCCGGGGTGTAAACTTGTCAGGAGGCAGAGCGTAACACAACCCATCCACACTCTGGAGTGAATACTAAAGTCCTGAGGTTTGACAACAGTTCTCACCGCTAACAAGCTAACGCCGTGCTAATAGACAACAGAACCGTTCAGCTGAGTCAGCTGTCAGCCAGTTCGACTCAGTGTTTACACCGTTCCTTCTCCACTGTTTTCACTCTGTTCCTCTACGCTGTCTCTGGGTTTTTCATATCCCTGCTGTCGTCAAACCTGCAGAGACTCAAACTCACATGTTTTTCCCGATGTCCTAAACAGGAAGAGGAACTTTTAATTGGATGATCTACATCAAGGGGTCTCAAAGTCAGACACAGCTGAGGGCCACTGATTTGTCATTGTTCGATGTTCAATCCCTTTAACATTAATACTGTGTAACTGCAGTGCA